AAGTACAGAACCTGAGCCCAGGTATCCTGTCTCTGAGGCCAATTATTTATCCACCACTCCTGGCTGCCTAGCTATATGAAGCACTTCTAATCCAAATTTTAAATGAACATCTTATGTTTGTATGCACAGACTGAAAAGCAAAGCCACATAGTGTTAAATGCTATTTTTTTAATTAGTTGGCATTCAAATGGATAAGTTAAGTCACTTCTCCCCCCAGAAGACTTTCTATGATAATGCGTTATCTAAATTAGATTGCTTAAAATAAGCACAAACAGTCTTCAAAACATGCAAGGATCATTGAAAAGAGTGCTTCCTTAGAGGAATAAAATGGGTCCACTGACATTTGATTTTAATCAGAAATATTAAAAGAAAAAAGTCACTTTCAGTGACATTTGACAAAATACTAAAGTTCAACCTTTCTCTTTTACTCCTTATAGAAAATAGCAAATGTACTATATGTACCAGCATAACTGTGAAAGTACATATGTATATTCATTTATATGCATATATAGACGCACATACCCACAAAAACAAAAACACATATTTTAGCGTTTGCCAATATACATCATTCATGTACACTCACTTGTGAAAACAATCTCTTAATTCTGTGACAGAGCCAAGATCAAGCATATGGCCCCTCCCCCCCAACACACCCTCATACTATTGTCAAAACCTTTGTACAGAAAGCTAGAAGATTACTCTGTTGCTATTGATTGAGAATTGATCATATTGCATTTCTGTTTAAATGCTAAAGGACCATCACTTGGCCTTGAGTGGGGATTGATTTGTCTAATATTTGGCACCCAGTCCTAGCAGAAGGTTTGGTCCCTGCTTCCAAATGAAGACATAAAGACATAGTCGTATAAAGATACCTGTAACAGTTACAGGTTTTGGGGAAATGGAGGCGTCTGTAATCTCATTGTTTTGGGAAATTCCCTCTCCCAATGCTGGTTGACAACTTATCTGTAACTTATTGTTTTAGAGAACTGCCTATTTGTGGTTTGCCCACTTGAAAGAAATCCCTAACTTACTGTAACTGACCAAAGTACAAAAATGTAGCCTGTGAGGTTTTGGTGAGAAAAAATACAAGATGCTCAGAGAATGGAGAAGTTTAGATATACTTTAGGGGTTGAAAGAAGTAGTAAATAGGTTTCTTTAACTGGATGGAAATCATGAGGCAAAGTTTACCCTTACATTTACCCCATATTTATCTTGTAAATTTATCAGTAGACCTGGGCTTTTGATTCCTCGGCTCTTTTAACATAGTGGTATTGAGTCAAAAATGCAGGTGATTCTTCTTCCAATAGAATGTGATGATTGATAATGATGAGGAGGAGGATAAAAAGGATAGGCGAGTGGAGGTTTGTAACAAGTTCAGTCCAATTCAACTTACTCTATAAAGCCTCACTGAATGCCACCACAAGGGATGTGGAAGTTGGTATTAGAATTAACTTTCATTTCCTGTAGCATTTATGTGAAGATTCTGTAAACAATAGAATTCTTCAGATTTTCACTTGAAAGTTTCAATTTGCTTACTATATGTATCTTAACTCATATTTATATAGTAGTTTAAGATTTGCAGCCTTACAATAGCACTAAATGTAGGGATTATCTGCGTTTTCCAGCTGTGGAAACAGACTCTGAGATTTTAAGTTATTTACCCATGATCTCACAGTTACAAAGTGCCTGATTCAAGACCAAGTCTTCTCCATCCAAGTCCAGGTCTCTATACTTGGATACACATTTGACCTGTGAAAGATTGCGGATCATTCTACATCGTTAGTTCTAAGGCTCTTGCTCTTGAAAGAAAACTTCATTTCAGAGAGGAAAAAACCAAGGTGGAGAGGTTTTGACTTGCCCAGTGTCACTAAGTTATTTAGTTGGGAAATTGAGATGAGAAGACCGGTCTCCTAGCTCCTATTTGAGAGTTGTTCCTAAAGATTTTAAAATTCAAGGGGTTGTCATTAACCATCTCATCCAATTCATATGTGAAAGAATCCTCCATTATCATATACCAGACAAGTGGTTGTCCAGTGTCTACTGGAAGACCTCCAATGAAGTTGAGTCAGCACCTGTGAGCACAGCTCATTGCACTATTGGACTGCTCTAATAGGGCATTTTTCTCAATATCATGTCCAAAAGGTTCCCAAATAATGCTTATTACTATTAAAATAGCAAGGTACAATTAATTACCAGGTAATAATTATGCTATCTTGTAATTGAACAGTGCTTTCTACTTTATAAGTAGTTTTCTGTTCATTATTTTATTTGATCCTGATAATAATCCCGTGAGGTCGTGTGTATCATCATTATCATTTTATAGATGATCAAATCTAAGCTTAGTGGGAAACCAAGAACACAGAGCTTATAAATAGTAGAACTGGCATTAGAATCTGGATCTTCTAAGTTTTTGGTCAATAGTCCTTCTACTATTCTGGGGGTGATAGATGTGTTTTTCTCCTGAACTAGGTATTTGTGGAAAATAGATGATAGATTATTTAACTTGCTACAGTATGGTGAATTCAAATGGGGAAAACTCCAAATTAAATTAAGCAAAGAAATACTCAAGAGTACTGACTTGAATGGATTCATAGGCCTGGAGTTCCAGCTCTGTGTTGATACAATACAATTGGCCAAAGAGCTTCACCTTGCTGGGTGTTAGCTTCCTCATCTATACAAAAAAGGGGTTAGATGTAGTCAATCACAAACATATTAAGCAGTTGTTATGTGTCAAGCACTGCAAATAAGAACTGGAGATTAAAACATTGATTTCATGGGTTCCTTCTAGGGAAAATACTAGCGATGTCATGGTCTCTACTCTTAGCTAAGTTACCTTGTCCTGTTCTGATAGTAGTTGGCTTTCTTTTTAAACTGCGTACGGCTCATGCCTAAGAGGTAATGTGGCATAGTAGGGAGCCAGATGACCTGGGTTTAAGTTTGACCTCTGAAAAGACATACTCGCTCTGTGAACCTGGCATAGCACTTAACCTACCATCCTGCATTGGTAGAAGGAATATCCTCAACAAGGAATTTCTTATGACAGTGAAATTACAGGTCTTGCTTCTATCCCTAAATTTTTTGACCAACATAGTTCTATGCTAACTCAGCAGTTGTAAATGCAAAACCCAATCCCAAACCTGAATGGGTAAATTCTTTGCCTTGGGTCTCAATGACCAAAGCCATCTAATCATTTGATGACCTCTGGTCAAAGCAACCCCAGTTCCATAAATACTGAAAATTATTTTTTCTTCATCTTTTTCTTTTCTAATTGACCATCTCCAGAATTGTATTTATCGTCCTTTATTTGAGGATTGTTTTTTAAACCTATGAATTGTCAAGGAGAGATTTAGGAGTTCTATTGATGTTTATTTGAGATGCAGTTTTATAAAAAATGATTCATGGATTGGTTTTTGACATTAATCAAAAAGTAACCTCAGTGCTCTAGTGCTAATGTTTCATCTTGCTGTTTTCTTTTCTTTCTTTTTTTAAACACAGAGAGTGCCTTGGAGCATTTGGAGCTAGTTCTGGGCCTTTGCTGTCATTTTTCCCAATAAAGAAATCTATTTAAGGGCCTTGAAATAGGCCTTTAATGTTGTATTTCTTCAAGGTTAAATCCTGGACTGGGGGTGATTCTGTTACGTCCATGACTTGGTTAACACCATGCAGAAGCCTGAAATGTTGTGCCCCGTAATCCCTCCACAAGTTAATCAATTTATAGATGTAGATAAGTCATCTTTGCAATCATTTGTATTTCTAGGTCTCTGTTCATTTGACACTATGTAGATGGCCTTAGACCAACTGTTAAGGACTGAGACTTTGAAATGAAACAGGAAGATTGGCATGGTTTTGTGGCAGAAAGAGAAAGGAGTCCTATGCTCTGCAGGCTCCTGCTCCAGCTGCAACTTAGTGACTAGTGTCACTCTGTACACTGTACCAGAGGTGCAAATGGGCACGTGAATAGAAGCATCCAAGCCAGCAAGGAGGAAATAGTTCGTCACAGGATCATGGGCCCAGGTTCCATCTACCAGTGACTGGCAAAATTATCCCAACTTGACAGATGAAAATAGGTGTCTACCATACATGAAAAATCACTGTACATGTTATGGCCCTCAGTGACAAGTTGAGGGACTGCTTTGAAAGAACCAGATTGTGCTTCCTCTTTTTCTCGTTTTGACACACTCACAAGGATAGTGTTGGGAGTCGTACTAGGGGTCTTGGTTTCTCAGTGATTCATGCTATAGAACTGTGTTATCCTATACGTAAAAGGAAGTCAGCGTCCTGCTTTCAATCACAAATCATCTCTTTCTATACTACAATAAAGGACAATAACTCCCATTTATATAGCAGTTTAAGATCTACAAAGTTCTTTATTCATAATAACCCTGTATTTGAAGCCAGAAAGGTCAAATCAATTAAGCTAGAATCACACAGCTAATAAGCATCCAAGATCAGATTTGAACTAGACCTCTCTAGGCTCCAGTTCTAGCACGCTTTCTCTTTGACCATATTGACTCCCATTAGCACAGTGAAGCAACATTCTTCTTCATTACTGACAGTATTATCTATTTGCACATTAGCTTACACACATACACATACATGTATAGTAGGCATACACAACTCATAGGTTCTTACTGCCCAATATATCTTGTCTTCTATTAAAATGTAAGTTCCTTGAGGGCAGAAACTGTCTAGCTTGCTTGTAGATGTATCATTAGTGCTTACACAGTGTCTGGCATACAGTAAGTGTGTAATAATTGATTTTTCACTCAGTTGCTCCACACAGGGGAAAATGGCAGTATGGCATGTATATACTGACAAGTCCGTAAACTAGAGCAGCAGTTTTGTCTGAAATTATTTGACCAACGTGCTAAATAAAGGGAAACGTTTTCATGGTTGTTTTTAACCTGTCCATCTTTTGTATTCTCTTTTCATACTACTGCTTTGCCCAGGCTCTGACCCTTTATTGTGTTTTCTTTCCTTTCTTTTCTCCCCAGTGGAAGAAGACACAGAAGAAAGTTCAAGATCAGGAAGAGAATCTGTTTCAACAGCAAGTGACCAGCCATCCCACTCTCTGGAGAGACAAATGAATGGAAACCAAGAGAAAGGAGATAAGACTGATAGGAAAAAAGAAAAAACTGGAAAAGAGAAAAAGAAAGACAGGGATAAAGAAAAGGACAAAATGAAGGTCAAGAAAGGGATGCTGAAGGGTTTAGGAGACATGTTCAGGTAGGTACTATCCTAATAAGGACCAGGACAACACTGATAGGGCATGAATGCTATGTTAATGAGAAAATCCTCCTTGCTGTAATATGGAAAATATTATCTGTGCAGTCAGATCATGGTGCTTCTGTCATTCTTATTCTCGACTCCTGTCTTTTCCTTTCACCATCTTAAGGATTCTACTTCACTTCCCTGAGACAGTTTGAGTAACTTTAAAGATGCTATGTTGCCAGCTGTGGTAAGTTCCTGCTAGGAGAGAGGAGGGACAAATCCATATCTGAGTTAGGAAAGAACCGAAAAGTTCTTTGGAGACAAAGTTGTACTAAGGCATGATTTGTTCTTTCTTGTGTGAACAATGGCTCATTATCTAAGTTTTGCAGACAACTTGAGTTAGTGTTTGCATTTAAAGCTACATTAATAACAGGTTTAATAAAAAGGTGCAAGTAGGACTTTAATTAAGCTATGTTGATTAATTTAATGGCTTGAAAAGTAAGTTCTGGCTGTTCCTTGATGGCTGTTTTTGTGTCCTTGAATTATGTGGTCAGATTAGTTAGCATATCATTTTTTACAAATCACTGCTCAACAGTAAAAGTGACAAGTTGTTCAGAAGTTGCACTGGAACTCGGTCCCCATAAATGTTCATCCAAGGCAATTTATAATAGCCAGCCATTTTATGTTAAATATGAAACTCACTTGATTGTTCCATAAATTAAGCTCCTAAATGTAGCAGGATAATGTTTTAAAATCAAAAACATACAGTGTCGCCTTTTCAGCTCTTCAGAGTAGCAACCTTGCATTATGATTCCATTTCTGGTAACTTTTTTCTTTTTAACATTGTGAGCATGCGTTCTTATTTCTGTGGAGTTTATTTATTGTCCCAAGCCTGGCTTCCGTATGTTTGTAAATTATTGATTTGTCCTATTGAAAGGACAGATCCTGGTGCAACGGAGGAGCCAATAGGCAGATCAGCCTTAGATTTGATGTGATCTGATAATTAAGTAATGTTCATGTGTGAAGTGAACTGACTATAAAATTGATAGCATGCATCCTTGCCAAATATTAGCACTTACATCATAAATTTAAATATTATTAGTATTTAGCTTACTTTTCTAATACTTCAGAGCATTCATATTTTAATTTTTTTTTTCAGCTAAGGTTTTCTTACTCCCATGCTGCTTCCCCTGAATGTATTTTCAGACAGATAATCTTTCTTCATTATACCGCATGATCAAGAACACTTATGGGATGGAATTGCTGTAACTCACACTTGATTTCAGTTTCTCTTTTTTAGCCAAGGGGCTTTTCATTTCATATGTGCAAACTGACATCTCATAAACTGGAACCTACATAATGCACAGGAATAAATCTTCTTTCCATCAATTAAAATCTAAAGATTTTGTACTGGGATCTTCATTAAATTGCAGCATAAAATAAAAAAGTTCCCACTAGAGAGCATACATTTCTCTTTCTTCAAAACAGACTCATTATTTCCAAAGATTTCCCTGAAGATTCTTGTCCAAATGTAAAGGTATACATATGAAGATATGAAAGTGTTGGGTTTATGGTGTTACTGTTCTAGAAATAAAGGAAAGCTCTGAATTTTCTCCAACTCAGAATTACAGAATGAATTAAAGATGAAGTTTGTTGATGACTTATCACCTGATTTGGGATATGTAGTTTAAATGCAGCTCTCTACTTAAAGGGGCAGCAATTTGAAAAGACTTTGAATATTTTAAAACACCTGTGGGCAACCAGAATTAAACAGCTCTTTTCTCCCTACTAAATATTACATAAGAAAATGTGCTATATGAATAATATGGCAACTTATATATAGCTAGAGTCAGAGCTATATTCATTAAAAGAAAAAAAAATTGTCCTACTCACTTGCATTGGGGACCAATAAATCCCTGACAAACCAGCTATTGGGGCCAGGTTTAGAAACTAGAGGTTTAGTTCTGATAAATTCTGCTATTGTTTTGCTTCCATTTAAGGATGACTGCTAAGAATTCACAGAAAACCTTACGTTTTGGGCTTTATAAAATTATAAGAACTTTCATGCTGTGCAAAATATTTTTTTTTTTTTGGAAATGAGCTCAGAACGATACATTAAACATAAAAAGGACATTTTAATTTTATGAGAAAACTACAACTTTTTTTCTTTATCATTTGGCACTACTAGTTGAGAAACTTAGGTAAAGCAAATTTAAGTTTGGCAAAACTTTTATTACTATTGTCCTGATCAGTAATGAGGTGTCATTATATGCAGCAGAAGTTTTCACAGCCACATCCAATTACACGGGGACTGACAAATACTATGCTCTGTATTCTCAGGTTAGTGTGCTTATATTTCCTAGCAAAGGAGTGGAATATAGTGTGCCTAAACCTGATTTTTGTCTCTTCCTTCTTGTTTGCCACTTTAATAAGGGTTAGATGTGATCTTGTTAGCACATTAAAAATAGTCCTTTAATCATATATTTGCTTTAAACTCCTATGTAGATGCCTTAGTATAGTTTTTTTTTTTTTTTTGTGACACTGGGCAAGGGCATTCTCTCTGAGGATGCTTCAAAGATCTTGTATTTATGGTACTAGCGATAGAAGAGGAGAAAGGGGCAGTGAAGATGAATCTGGGCATTGTAGCTGCCTAATCCAATTTACCAAGATGTGCATTAGCTGTTTATTCTGCCTGAGTCAACCCAACCATGAGAAATTCAGTCTCCTTCATTATAAATTGGTTCCTTTTCTAAGCTCTTATAGATTGTTAGAGGGAAGAAGTCAGTTGTTTTTGGTTGAATCTGGTGAAAAACGAATTGCAGGCCAAATGGATGTTTTACTGCAGATGGAAATTGGATCAGAGGGAAAAATATGGTACATTCAAGAGGTTTATGCCTGGTTTATATAGAAAACATGTTTTCCTCCTTCACACATTGAATGATATTCACAGAAAACGACTTAATTATTGATAAACAGCTCTAGGAAAGAATGTTGTGAGTCATATGAATCATTCGTCTGTTTATAAATTATAGAGGTTATGAAATGCAAAAACCTGCCATAATACAATTTTTAAATCTACAGTTGAAACCCATAAGGCAAGCAATATAAAATGTAAAGTACACCATATCTGTGTTAATTTATCTGTGTCTGTACAGAATCTTTAGCCCCATACGGTGCTGATATTACCTTAATTACAATTATTTTGTATGAGGCCTACTATATGACCATCATGTAAGTTAGAGAGTAATCATTAATCTAATAATTGGAATGTTCAATAGAGTGAGGTAATTGCTGAATTTTCATATATGTTTGTTTTTTTTACTTACATTCCTTATTATTTGGTATTCTAATTTTTTAAGTAAAAGAAAATTCTCTTTTTAAGAAAACGAATTGTTCATATGTAAGGAAATTTATCACTTTTGGAAATACTTAGAATTTTGCCACAATTTAGAAATTTCATTAAAGTAGGAACTAAATGTATACTTTAAGGATCAGCTGATATATCATGTCTTCAAAATTTGCTTACTAATGTGTAATTACTACCAATAATCTCATTATTAACATTTTTTATGTAACAAATTTTTAGTTACTCTACTCATTCAAACTACAGAGCAGAGAATCAATCCATTTGTTTAAAACAAAATAATCTCTTCTCCTCCCCCCCAACCCCCCCATCCCTTTCTCTTGTCTGGAAACCATAATGTTCTTTGAATGGGAAATTTGAAAATTTAGACTGTAACTATTTAGGATGTCTTCTCCAGTAAGAAACTAACATCTCCACTGGGGAAAAAAATATCCTTGCTATTTCAATCTCATTTTTACTCCCTTTTATGATACAAATAGGTTTAAAAAAAAAAGCACATCACAGAGGAAAACCAATGCAAATGCAATCTGTCCATATTACTATTAAGATTGGCTTCTGCAATTACATTTAAAATGATTACTTGAGGCCTTGAATCATTTCATACAGTTCTGTAAGAGAAAATAGATAACTCAGTCTGAAAACTTGTTTAGTTGAAATCAGATCTACTATTGTCTTTTCTTTCCTTTTTTAAACACAATGCATGTAGTATATATGATCACATTCAAAGACTTGGTCTATATAACTTTGAATTAAATATTTTAACATATGACTGGGCATTTGGGAAAATAGCATACACAAATGACAGTTGTCCTTCTTACTTCTCGTACTTACTAATTGTGTGTCTGTACCATGTTTCTCATCTAGCATTGCCAAAGTGACGCCTGAGAAGAGATGAACAACAAACGAGATTCCAAAATGTCTTGAACAGCACATATTGCACAGACTTTTTTTTTTTTCAAAAAAGAGAAACAACAATAAATCTACTTTTAATGAATTTTTAGTGGCTGTTTACTAATTTTGTTACGACATCAGCCGTCTTCATGGTTTAATGATTTCCATGCTTATAAAATCTATTTGGGACTTTTTTTAATCTTGATTTTAAAATTTTGGGGATGATTGAGTTGATGCTCAAAAAAAAGTAGATATGCTTTTTACTCTCATTTTTATCAGTCCTCTTCCATGGTGGAAAATGGAAATATCCTGACTACTAGCATCTTTAGGAATTAACCTAAATTTTTCCATAGTTAGTAACGACATTTACTAAAATTTTGTTGTTGATTATATTGTTGAAAACTAACCTCCAACTTTCCTTAGGTAACACTTTCACAAAAAGGGAAATTAGAGACACTGGGTAAGTGGGAGCCTAAGTTTACAGTGATGATTAGAGCTCAGAAACTTAAAAAAAAAAAGACATGTAGATCAGGAGTTCTTAGTATTTTGCATGT